GTGCACTGGAATGTATGGCCCCGCCCACTTTGTGTCCTTACTGACAATGGTTTAAAAGGCTACTTCGTGCACTGGAATGTATGGCCCCGCCCACTTTGTGTCCTTACTGACAATGGTTTAAAAGGCTACTTTGTGCACTGAAATGTATGGCCCCGCCCACTTTGTGTCCTTACTGACAATGGTTTAAAAGGCTACTTCGTGCACTGGAATGTATGGCCCCGCCCACTTTGTGTCCTTACTGACAATGGTTTAAAAGGCTTCTTCGTGCACTGGGATGTATGGACCCGCCCATAACCCGTCGCACATAAATTCAGACATGTCAGCATTTTAGTGGAATGTGTTGTTGTTGTTTTTTAAGACGCTCCCCCCCCCCCTTTGAAGCACCGGAAGAGACACGACCGCAGGAGTACAGTTGGCGTTAAAACGTCACGTTTAGATGATCACATATGGGCTTGTGGACATGCTTGGTATAATCTATACATTTCTCATAACTTCTTCTTCTTTTTTTTTAATCCGGGCATAACGATCGATGTAACTATAACTATATAGGTATGGCAAAACGACTTTGGTATCGATGTAACTATAACTATATATGTATGGCAAAACGTCATTTGTATCGATGTAACTATAACATATATGTATGGCCAAAACGACTTTAGTTGGGTATAGTTTGTATGAGAACGACCGACTTGGACATTAAGTTATGCACATATCCTGGAGAGCTATTTATATTCGAATCTTCTCCTCTGTTTTGCAGACGTATTAAAAAATAAGTGTATGTACACACCCAAGGCGATGGAAGAACTGAAGAACACCCAAAAGAGCTATGGCAGGGAGCTTGGTAAACTAATTTTGGGACTTAGTAACAATTAATTAAAAAAAGCATCATAATAAAAATATCAAATATTTTTAAAAAGATTATGGGTCTTGCCGAAAGCCTTGGCACCACCGCCTGCCACACCACCGCCTGCCACACCCCATATGGGGTACGGTCCGCGGGCAACCCTTGGCACCACTGCCTGCCACACCCCACATTGGGTACGGTCCGCGGACAACCCTTGGCACCACTGCCTGCCACACCCCACATGGGGTACGGTCCGCGGGCGACCCTGGTTAAAAAACCCTTGGTGTAGAGGTTTTCCTCGACTGTCAAGACTTTGAAAGTGCACACTGTTCAAGATACCATTGGGTATTTGAACCGGACCGAATTAATAGGAATCGATCGCGTGGCAAACAAACTGTGTGAAGTTGAGAGCGGAGCACTTTGCACGTGTGGGGCAAACAGTTCAGTACATTTTGGATGTAGCTTTATACCAAACGATCTTAACCCATTCATGTTTGTAGTTTCTGGTGAGATTTTAATACCAGGTGTTTCGAATACGCCAGTGTCAATGTATGTCTCACTTGATGCCCTTATGTTTATAATGTTTACAGGGCTTCCCAAATTGTGCGTCACGAAGAAGTCGGCTCTTCAATACAACCGTCTAGAAAAAACATATTTTTAATAATGATGATAAACCATGCATAAGTTATACACCAGGTTTTCGCATATGGAATTGAAAACTCGGAGAATTTGATTTTTACATTTAAAGAATAAAAAAAAAAACGTTGCTTATTTTAATCTCTTTGAGTTAGAAAAACTATGTCAAAACTATACGCCACTTTTTTCAAAACACGCAAGTGAAATGTTCAGCAAAATGTTGAGGACATTCACATGAACGTAGTGTTAGACGTTTGTGTCTAACGTTTCATGGCCACCATTAACTCCCACATTAGATAGCAGACAATACGGTACAGCGTTAGTCCTCCGCGGGGCGATTATCAAACACATTGATCTAATTTCCCATTGTCAAGTAGCAAGTACAGACAAGCTGGACTTTGAATTCCTCATGTCATCTCACTTCTCTCTAAAAGGTTAAAACAAAAAATGTTTTCGTCGCGGGACAGATTTCTCGTGATTTCCCTTGGCCAGCACATTACACAATAAGACTACGGCTGCTGGGGCGTACCATTTCTGGTGCAGTCCCAGGCGGTCATCTATTATTGAAGCGGCACACGTTCATCTGAGACTGGGGTGTACTTTTATTGATTCGTTTTTCACATTTTATTTTGCCCAGGATAGTTAACTTGATTATTTGGTATAATCAGTGTGTAGTAAATAACTGAGAGGAAGATACTCTACAAACACTCACTTTGTCTGTCACCATTTTGAACATCATGTCACCATCTAGGATATAGTTTGCTGTACCGCCATTAAGGTGTGTGAACGCCGTGATGTAAAGTTAAAACATATCTTACGCAGGATTAGATTTAAATTGATAGACGACATAAGCACTTGCCCCATAGTTTGGTGCCTCCAATAAACTTAACCTCTATTACTGCTCATATACTATCCGCACATTACCAGAAATTGACGATGCTTTTGCACTCTTCAGTGATTGAAGATAAAGTTATGCATTTCTTGCTTTGAGCAGTTACACTCTTCAGTGATTGAAGATAAAGTTATGCATTTCTTGCTTTGAGCAGTTACACTCTTCAGTGATTGAAGATAAAGTTATGCATTTCTTGCTTTGAGCAGTTACACTCTTCAGTGATTGAAGATAAAGTTATGCATTTCTTGCTTTGAGCAGTTACACTCTTCAGTGATTGAAGATAAAGTTATGCATTTCTTGCTTTGAGCAGTTACACTCTTCAGTGATTGAAGATAAAGTTATGCTTTTCTTGCTTTGAGCAGTTACACTCTTCAGTGATTGAAGATAAAGTTATGCATTTCTTGCTTTGAGCAGTTACACTCTTCAGTGATTGAAGGTAAAGTTATGCATTTCTTGCTTTGAGCAGTTACACTCGTCAGTGATTGAAGATAAAGTTATGCATTTCTTGCTTTGAGCAGTTACACTCTTCAGTGATTGAAGATAAAGTTATGCATTTCTTGCTTTGAGCAGTTACACTCTTCAGTGATTGAAGATAAAGTTATGCATTTCTTGCTTTGAGCAGTTACAAGGTAACCGCATAACCCAAACAAACAAATGTGAGTGTGTGTGTGTGAAATGTGTGTGTGTGTGAAATGTGTGTATTTTATATTATTTATTTCATTGATAGTGAGGGCTCCATGTCTTATGGAGCGTAGTTTAGCTGCATGCACCAGTTGAAGCTTGCATCATTGCGTCCGCCCCATGACGTTGACGCTCTAAGCTTACAATTGGCTCAACCGCTGAGCCAACCCTAATTTCACCAGCCCAGGGTGTACCCCCACATAATGCTTCTTTCGTTCATATATTTCTTTCCGTCTAGTTTATTTTGAGTTGCAGGCGACAACACATGTGATGACCAAACCTAACTGTTTCTGGGGATAAACTTACAACATCAAGATATCAAATAGTATCGTCATCTTTTTCAAGACATCTTTTTTTTTTCTTTTTTTTTCAAGGGCGTTGGTCAATTTGAAAATGTTTATTTTTGGCAAGGACGTTTTGCGCCGTGTTTCTTCCAATCCAAGAACTGATTTCCTTATTAAGTTCAAACTAGAAATAGATTTCGCAATTTTGTCGCCTCCGTTTTTTCGTAGATTTCATCGATTCATTGGTAAATATCTTTTAATACCACTTGATCGCTCACCATCTCTTCATCTTGCTGTTCACTGGGCAAAACAAATGAAAGTGGGGCTGATTTTTGTGTGAAGCGCCAACCATTACACTTGCAAGTGAATCAAGTTACTGTCTCCAGACTGAACGGTACACGAGCCTGGTCACGCCATATCGCCACAAAACAGCTGACGGGACCTTCCCCGGCATTGCTTCTCCTGGAGAAGTTTCATTCAAATGTACAGCTTTAGTCTTAAAGAAGCTATTAGTGTGTGGGGGCAATGTTTCTTGGCTTTCGTTAAGTGTGTGGTCTGGCAGAGACTCCTAACATTGGGTGATGGACCATCAGGAAGTCGACAAGTGCATTTCCGGGTGTCCAAACAAAATTGGCAAAAATACGAACACAGTGGTAGGACTACTTAAGCTTTACCTCTAAGGGAATATATAATCAATCATATTTCAAATGTGGTGCTGTTGTTCTTTATATAGAATTATATAAATAATTGCACAGTTTTCCCTTAAAGAACTTCTGGTGAACTGCAATGAATCTTGTCGAGATGAGACAGAGGAGAAGAAAGACTTTAGATTTGGACAGAGGAGAAGTTAAACTTTAAATTTTTGACAGAGAAATAGTTAGACTTAAGATTTGAACGGAGGAGAAGCTAGGGTTTATATTTAGACAGAGGAATAGTTTGACTTTAGATTTTGGACATACGAATAGTTTGACATTAGATTTTGGACATACGAATAGTTTGACTTTAGATTTTGGACATACGAATAGTTTGACTTTAGATTTGGACAGAGGAGTAGTTTGACTTTAGATTTGGACTAATGGGTTATATTTTAAATAATTATAACCTGAAAAATATCCGCTTCTTATATACATCGTGCTTTGTTAGAAGATTGTCGAAGGAACATTCAAAATATGTGTGTCTATTTCAGAAGAAAATTCTTGATGATTAACGTCAAAAGCAAATAAATTCATTCTAAATGTAAGTGATTCGTTCACTGTCTTTATTGTGGACATGTTGATGTGTGTTGTTCTTCTTCTTCTATATCTTAAGGGCCCACGATCAATTTATTGATCATTTTGGCTCCTATGTTGTTGTTGTTGATGTGTGTTGTTGTTGTTGTTGATGTGTGTTGTTGTTGTTGTTGTTGATGTGTGTCGTTGCTGTTGATTCAATTTTATCCTTGCTATTTCACCAACAGTTTTAATCTTCTTTTTTTTCTGGCAGAAAACTACTCCAGAGGCAACCATTTTCTTCCCCTTCCAATCAGGAGCTCTCTCCACCTAGCATGATGGAAGACACCGTTGATCCTGCACAGCCCAGCCACACATCGACCAAAACCAGCTGCAATGGCGGCAACAACAATAGCTCCAACAATATAAACTGCAGCAGCAACAACAACAACAACACGTCTAGCTGCCCATCCACCAACGGCCCCTCGTCTTCATCCTCGGATATGGAAGAGATTGGCCATGGGAGCCCGGGGCTCTTGGAGCTGAACAAAAACTCTGCGACTAGTAATAACAATAACAGCAATGGCTTACTGCACGAGCCGGAAGTTGAAGACCAGACCCAGTCAAAGACAAACGGTCTTCTCTCTGAGACGTCATCGCCTGTCTCAGACCCTCCCAGTCCTCCACTTTGCACTCATCAAATCTCTTCACCCGTTCACGGGCCTATCAACAACAGTGGACACTACCATCAGCACGCGGGCCCGGCCATGGGTCCTGGCGGTGGCCCGGGCTACTATCTGGGAACCAACTCGAACAGCCTCGGACACGGCTGTATTCCAGCGTCCCCCAACCATTGCGCCTCGCCCCCAGGAAGTTACCCGAGCTCTAATGCCAGCCACTCAGGGGGTTCTGGCACTCACTCTCGCGGGGATAGTCCAGGGGACGGAGGGGGCTCCTCCCCCACTGGAGGCCAGCATGTCGTACATGTACATGTTAACCCAGGGGAGACCTTTTCAGTTCGACTAGGGGACCAAATACAACACATACAGGGTGAGTACATCTCTCTTTGTGTACACTTTGGTTCAGGGCATACATTTTACCCTAACACAACAATCTACTTGTCACTTATCATTCATATTCAGTTTTTCGGTTCGATTGAAAACAAGAAATCTTTTAACAAGCATTGTATTTATTTGTGTAAATAAAAATTTAAAGTATTTTTTTTTCAATTGCCAGAAATATGGTAAAACGGGAAGAGAGAGATCAGGTTTTGTTCAAACATACGAGACAATTTTAAATAGACCTATCTATTTTCTAGCTGAATATGGACGATCAAGTTCCTAGGCCTCCTACCAATGAGAAAGTACCATTCTTTACACATTATGTTACAGAATCGATGGCTTTGCTCTCCTTCAGAGCATCTCATGCACCTATACTGCTTATGCCAGATTTACACTTAATATGTGTCTCATTCGAATGTAATCCCTTTTCTCATTCAACTTTCGCTGTTCTCATTTGTTATAATAATGTACCATAAAAAAACAAACAACAACAACGTTTGTTTCTTTTAATGGCATGGAACATAGATCTACTTTTAGTCTAGTTTACTGTTTATAAAAGGACACCACAAGCTTTAACTTTATTAAATTATCGACCAGAAATTGTTGATGGCCCCCGACTGATGTTATTGAAGGTTAGCCTCAGATGAAGAAAGATCGATTTGATCTTGTGTCAGTGTATTTATCTATTGTCACAGTATTGATTTCACCATTTGAAACTCTGAGCATCTTAGCGGGAACGAAAACGTATTTGCTGTTATGGTTGAAAATATAGCCGGTCATTTCAATTTTTTTTTGTTATTCAGCTGGTTATTTCTTTGAATGAAAGAGCAAAAGGACGTATGTGGATGCTTGAATAAGAGAACAGGACCAAAAAAGTGTCAATATTTATATTCTCTCGCTTCCTGTGTTCCCCCTTCCGGCGACAGGAATGGATACTTCTTCAGTTGTCAACTGTGCTCTGTTCTTTGTTATATTTTCATTTCTACTGTTAGCTGAAGAAGGCTTTATGCCGAAACGTCCTTGTTTTTTGTCCTGTTCTCTTATTCAAGCTTCCACATACCTCGTTTTGCTATTTCATTCATTTACTAAGCTTGAATGCAGTCCTTTTATTTATATTATTTATTTGAATCATGCTAAATCTTGTTAGCTTTGTTTCAAGTACGAGGCTGCTGAAAAGCGGGCTCTTACGTTTGGCCAACCACAGCCGACCATCATTTCACCGTAATTAAGAAAAAAAACATGAATTTTTACGCTTTTACAATTTTACTCCATATTATTTTTATTTTTTTTACTGGAGAGATCAACGCAGCAGAATGTTGCCGTCAAATTGTGTCTTGCCTTTTTTTTTTTACCATTGAAAGCCCATACAATAGATGGTATCAAACTGAATGACATTTAAAACTATGTTGCGTTTACAAACAGGCTTACCTACTAATTACGTCGGGCTTAAGCCAAAGTCACTTCGCTTTTACAGGCATGTACTAAATGCCCTTTTGAACCTATGTATGTGCATGCATATATATTTCTTGACTTCCCCAACTAAAATATTTGATTGATATTGGATTTAGAAGAATGCAAATAATGGAGATGAAATAATGGAGATGAAACAAAAACATTTTATTTTTAAATTCAAAAAATCTAATTCTGCACATTTCACATTTACTTTTTAGCTAAAATCTAAACTTGAGAAATCTGCCCCCTGCACTTGTAATATAACTGAATTTAGAGAAACATAACGATTTTTATATAAAGCCTCCCCCCCCACCTTTTTCTACCCAAAGACATAACAACTTTTCATCATGTCAATGGATGCTGTCATTTATATTAAATTCCATGATGAATAACAATCTTGCATTCTCCATTTACCACCACCACCCCCTTTGCTCTCACCATATAACACAGTATCGTAGTTATTTGGATTTCTTTTTAAAGTTAGCCGGCGGGGGGGGGGG